AAGAAACCATTATACATTCCTCACTGATTCATAGGAGGGGAGTTGTATACTACTAGTAGTAGCTTTTTCAAATTTATGATACAGGCTTTTGAGCACTTCCATGTTGATATTACTACACGTGTACAGGGCTCGAACTTAACTTTTTTCCCTACTGTCCCAGAACTGTCCCAAAAATAAATTCCAACTGTCCCAAAGTGAGGATTGACTGTCCCAAACTGGTTTTCAGGAAGTATGTATTACAACAACAATAAAGCTGAGTCAGAGAACAGTATTGCTGTGTAAGCTAATTGTCAATTGAAATAAACACAAAATCAACTCAAATTGAAACTTGTCTTGGCTGGTTTATTGTGCCGACAAATGTAACAAAGACAAGCCAAAGTTCTTTTCAAACTTTCCTTCCACTTGTTATGTGTAGGCTACAGTAAGTGGCCCCTGTAAAGTGTGCATACTGCATGCTGCACACTGCAGTAATATATATTATACTGCATGTATTACAATTCACAAATATTTACATGTTTAAATGTTTTACATTTCAAGCCCCCTCCCCCCTTCCGTCGGCGCATCCCTCTTTCGTACCGGCCGTACGATCTGGAGGCTGACACTCAGTTGTTGAAACCACGCCGTCAGACTGAGATGATCCTGAACGTCTTTGAGGATCGACAGCATTGACTGCATTCGACTCCGGGGCCGCTCGCGGCGAGGAGAAAAAAAGAGGAAATTTTCCTCTGTGCCATGCCGGCCATGACTCTCAAATTTTCTGATTTCGGCTGTTTTCGGCATTCCATTCGTCATTTCGCGGGAAACTAGGCGAAGTTTACCGAAAGACACCGTACATTCCCGAGCTTTGCCGGTTCACTATATTTGGCATTGTCAGCTGATCTCCCGAGCATCTCCGGAAATATCCGAACATTAAACAGTTACAGTTCGCCATATATGGCAGATGCCTTGATTGGATGGAAGCTGTGATTGGTTGAATGTTGTTTACATGGATAGAATGTCTGGGAACTGGCGTGGGAAAGTGGCGCCAAGGCGGCGGGCTGCAATAGATCAAAGGCGATGGGCGGGGCGACAAATTAGTGGCCACATGCGTACACGGGTGCCACACGCGCTGCTCAGCTGAGTGTATATCGAATTCGGCGGCTTTTGGTGAGGCCCAAAAATGGGTTGCGCGCCTGACAAACGTATGAACGGCTGACATTCTGATTGTGAATGTTCGTTATTTTTCCAGTGTCCCAAAAATGTCCCAAAGTGATTTTTCAGTTGTCCCGGCCGAAATTTTAGTGGCCAGGGGACATCGGGACATCGTTAAGTTCGAGCCCTGCGTCCAATTTCTTATTATTTTCAGTACAGGGCGTCCAAAAGACACCCTGGACACCCCCTAGCTAAAAGCCTGGCCACACATTGCAAGTAAAAGTGTATCATTCTCTTTTGTTTCACACAAATTTTAACTGACAGATATCATTGAGAGCCAACACCCCATTTACAAAGCTGAAAAACATTATACATTTATCAGTTAACATCAGAAGTATGTATGTCTTTATATTAAGCAAACATACAACTTGTTTGCATTGGGAGTCGTTCAGCAAACAAAACCTAATATACATGGTCACGACTATACAACAGGGAGCTTCTGTAGTTAGCAACAATGGGCACTAAATACTCGTACATGTACATTGTACCAAAATGTGTGAACAAATTTTTTGTCCATCTTCTTTCATCCAAATCTTTAAAACTGAATGTAGCAAACAGCATAGATTCTGATCAAGAAAGATAGGCAAATAGTAGAAATATGACCATGGTTGAAAAAACTGGTGCTACATATAGGGTTTTTTACTTTACTTAAAAAATAATTTCACTAGATCTACATCCTATTATTCTTGTCCTCTGTTGAAAATACAACAGAAACAAATCAGGGTTTGATTCCATCTCTCTCACAGATGTGCCAGTAGCACCACAGCTATTGTTTCTCCAATGTTGATCACACCTATTGTGGAAAATGTGCCAAACTATTAAAGGGACAAGAGTTGGTGATAATTACCCCTGTCCTTTTACTAAGCTGTTAAAAGGCATGCATAATGCATCTAATTGTATACAGATATATTTCTTATGCTCGGCAAGCTTTGAGTTTCTTTGTGTTGTCCTACATAGAGATTCTACAAAAAAATTGTGACCATGTTGTATGATACCAAAAATGTAAAAATCATAAAGAACTGTGTTACCCTAATGACATATCATACCTTATTATACCACACTATACCTTGGTATAGATCTAGTATAATCAAATTTTTATACAGCTAATGTTACATCACTGAGTTGGTAAATTATAGCACATCTGCATGTACTTCTATCACACGCCCATTTTTCCAACATTGAATACATAATTTTGTGTTACATGTTACAACTTATACTGGTGGAGTCTATCTTTTTTCTTCGCTTATTCTGTCCAAAAGTAAGGTTTTAACTCGAGTAAATTCAGTGAAATACTCTACTTGTTTGCTTCACCACATGTGGTGCCAGGACAAAGCATGGGATCTGTTGACTAGCAAGCAAACGATCTGACCTAATTTTTCAAACGAACGGTGTGTTTGTGATCAAGGTTTGCAAACGAACAAAGACAGTGTACCAAAAACTAGCATCATCTAGTGCTTCAAAAACTGCTAGAATTCACATAAATTCTTAACGAAGTCTAGATTCTGGCAGGAGGAACGCCCAGTAAAGGAACTGAGCAAACATATGCATGGCAAATACCCCGCTTGCTAGCCAGGGATAGGTTCCTCCCCCCAAGCTCCTGGCTGTAAAAGGCAGCACGTTCCAAGTACTCACCGTGAAAAAGGACAACCAAATATCCCAAATTCCTCGGCGCCGACAACATTTTTGGTCGAGGAAAATCTTCCCGACGTAGTAGAAGAGATTCCGGCGGTTTTGTGTGGACAGAACGGGGTGAAATTATCGTTCTTCGAAGGAAAAGCAGGAACGACGACTGCCTCCCACCCCACCCTGTTCAGCTCACAAAATGGCGGACTTTCTAGTTGGACTATACTATTACCAACTATGAAGGAGGGGGAAGAGAAACATAAATGACAATAAAATAGATTGAATATACTCCCCAAATCATAAAACAAACCATACACAATTTTATATAAAGTTTTTATAAATTTAATATCATTGATATTATCTTTAAAGTCCCTAAACTTCATTTTCAATGATAACATTGAAGATTCATTTACCCAAGGATAAATAGTCTAGTCCAGTGATATTCAGAAAAGTCCTTGTAGCTAAATAATAATCCAAGAGAAAATGGGTGCAAACTATTTATCGTGTTTTTCTGATCTACACAGAGTGACAAAGTGGCATCATAATGACAAACTCAGAATATTTAATAATGAAAGGAAGCCATTTAGACCTTCGGAAACTGTCGGTATTTTCCGGCAGCCAACGAAAGGTAGCCGACGGAACCCGACCTAATCCGAAGATTGTTGTTGTTCTTGCGGCCAATGACCTTTGTCCCAGAGCTTCTTGGGCAAAGTTCATTTTTGAAAAGTTGAGCTAGCGTACAGACCTAGATCTAGAGCCAGTCTTTTCAAAGATGGACAAGAGTAAAGAAGAAAAGAAGAGCTTGGTGCAGAGGGCTTTGAAACAGTACATTGTGCTGGTGAGAAGAAACCCTATCGTCACAAAGGCAATAACAAGGTATTTGTGGGCGGGGCGGCAGTGTTATGGGGCATGGGGAGGGTGGTTTCCATATGTAGTATTAACAAAAGTCGATGACCAATGTTTGTAAGTTTGGAGCACTGCTAAGATTGTTGCAATCATTCAAGAGTTTCCTCCACAAAGGAGACTGTTCATTGTGGTTGTTTGTTTGTTTATTTGGTTTATCGATTATTTGTAATTGTTTGCTTGGTTAGTTGGTTGGTTGGTTGATTTTTAATTGTTTTTGTGTGCGTGTGTGTGTATAGTGTGTACGTTTGTGTTAGTGTGTGTGCAGCTGATTGTGTGTGCACGTGTGTGTGTGTGTCTGTCTGTGAGTCTGCACGCATACCTGCAAGTGTGTGTCACTTTGTCAACATGAAGAAGTGAATATACAACTTAACTTGTTTCAGTGGATTGGTGTCGGCACTTGGGAACATCTTGTCCCAGAAGATCATAAGCCATCGGGCTGGGAAACCAGCTCCCATTGAATGGCTGGCTGTAGTCAGGTATTCCGCTGTGGGGTAAGTACTAGTACATCATGTTTCTACTTTTTTTTCTAACCAACATCAGCCAAGTTATCCATTCAAAGTTCTGAACAAATGCAGTAAATCTTGATGTTAGATTGTGTTTACTCAATCTCTTGCTGGCTGGGCGGCAACTGTTGGGCACCAGGAGCCTGATTTGGTCCAGGCTAATCTGGATGTCAGTGCTTTGGTTTTCATGAGTTCCGTCAATTGGCGGAAAAACAGGTGCTAGCTAGAACCCTTCACAGTGGGCAGGAGTTTCCATGTATTACTTCAGAATGTATTGTTTCAACTTCAAACTTACCAGTAAAACACTACGAAAAACCAATCTCCAAGCAGATCTTTCAGTGGCTGCAAAAGACAGTATTGGCCAGGCAATATCCATTAGCCAGACAGTATCCATTGGCCTAATAGACACTCCTCTGGCCAGTGGATACTGCCACCGTATGATCTGCTTGGAGATTACGAAAAAGCTCCTTCCCCTTCTACAGCAAGTCTCTGCAAAATGAAATGATATCTCTCTCCCACTCTCTGCCAGAACCTTTGTGACAGCACCCCTTGCCCACTACTTTCACCGCTGGCTGGAGAGGACCATCCCACCAGACAAGGAGTACGCTGCAGTGAAGCGCCTCCTAGCAGATCGGCTGCTCTTTGCACCTCCCCTGATTTTCCTGTTCTTCCTTGTCATGAACACCTTGGAGGTAAGCTTTCACAGTTTGGGTCTGGGAATCATGGTTATAGCAAAAAAAGGGTCACTGCAATTCACTCTATGTTCACAGTAGCAAAAGTTCATGGTCTGAGAAAATGGACATGTTCACGGAACTATATGTTCACAGTGTCGGCAGGTGCAGGAAAAAGAAACTCGAGGAAGTTAGCGGTACAGAAGTGACAGCAAAAACCGTGAACATAAAAGTACTGCAAAAAAAATCAGGAATTACAGTGCACTTAAGCCTGCACTAGTATAAACATTTTTTTAAAGTTTATTTTTGTGTCAAATGAATATATTTTCTTCAAGTTTCTTTTTCCTTGCAGGGACAGAACCTTACTGTGTTTAAGATGAAGATGAAAGAAGCCTACTGGACCACACTGAAGATGAACTGGAAGGTGTGGACTGTCTTCATGTTCATCAATATCAACTACGTACCTGTGCAGGTAAGGATGCTTCTCTTTTCCTTCTCTGTGAAGAATTCATCTTGAAGTCACAATTACCTTAATATTTTGCATATCCTAGTTGGATGTCTTTAAAAAATGTTTTTCACGTTGTTTGAACTTTATACTAGTATATAGACAGTTACACAAAGAAGCTAAAAAGATACATGTAATATTTAAGCTTCTTGATTTACTTAGTCATAGTGTTTTTGAGACTGACATACTAGTAGATAGAGAGAGAGGCTACACATATGATACAGAGAAAATATGCAGTAATGTACATGTACAAAACACTCTTATTTCCATATTGAGATTCTTAACTGTAAGAAAAGAATTCTCATGTATTTGTTACTGAATATATAAATATATTTGTTACACAATAACATAAGCTTATTTTCCTCTATAAGATGTCTTACCGGTACTACTCACAAGATGACTTTCTGACCCTTCCTTGTCTCCCTGCAGTACCGTGTCCTGTTTGTGAGCATGGTGGCGCTTCTGTGGCAGACCATCCTCGCTTCCATCAGAAAATAGACGCAGGGAGGATAACTGTACCACTGGAAGGACTAGCCTCCTTCACAGACTTGTGTCATGACAGCGTTCATATCTTCTGGGAGTTATGCCACGGAGGGAGTCTTGCCCTGGAGGGTGTTTTGCTGCAAAATATTCCCTCCACAGCATAAGTCACGTAGCTTCCCCCAAAACTTATCTCCGCCATCACACAAATCTGTGAAGGAGGCTACAGAATTAGAAGGACATGCTTCACATGTCCTCCAAGATTTTTACATACATGTACTAGTATTCCTCTGTCGTCAGCTACAATGTATATCAATTTTACTGTTTTGTTGGTTGTTTAAACCACAGAAAATGAGAAAGAGGGAGGAAGATTTGAGAAAAATGCTCTGGCAATCAGAAACAATGATACCTAAATTTGTGATGTAATCAGGAATTATATTTCTACTGGTAATTTGAGCAAATTGTATTATGTACAAGACTAAAAAGACAAAAATGGTGACATCCTTTAGTTAGTGTTTTTCCATTAACTACAATTTTAATCTTCTATTGGGTGTTGTTTTGATATATGAGTACACTATGGAATCAGTTGCAGGTAACAAATGACAAAGTGCCTTACAAGAGACGAAAGTACTATTTACTATGCTTTGTAAATTGTAATTTTTTATCAATACTGGCATATCTAGGTGGAAGGCTTTGTACTGAGAAAAAAATGTGTATAATCATGAGCTAAACACATATCAGAATGCATTATGATCAAGTTGAAGCAATGTAGGCTCTGTAGATATTACAACACTTATTACAGTATGGCTGTGTTAATCTTTGCTACACTTATCCCTTCTTGAGATTATAGTGTGATTTTATTTCATATTTTTATATTTCAATAGAATGGTATATTAACAAGTAATTATGCAGACATGCATGCTTAATGGAAAAATGAATGGGAGTAAAGAAGGAAGGATTAATTATAACATCAGGATCAACAATGAACAAAAAATATAGCTTCTTGAATTTTAAAAGCAGTAGTGAATCAGTCTGTTTTTTTTTCATGCACTTAGAAATACCACAGCAACAACCTCTAAGCTCCTTGCTCTATCCTCTATCCGGACCCTCTTAATTTTAAACCTTGTTGTCCGAGGCAAGACTTACCAAACTTACATTTCTCTCTATCTTCACTGTCTTCTTGTCACAATTTTCTACTTAAATCAAACAAACTATTCTCATTCATTATTTGTGGTGGTTTTAGTGTTAATTTTTACACTGGCTGTGGTGAAATATGTCCTGCAGTTTGTGTCCCGCAACATTTGGACACCAGACGGGTGACGCTCTCCCTAAAACGCGGGGAACAGTAGGCGTACAGGAACGGATTTATCGCCGAATTACTCCATAGTAACCAGTCCAGCGCCACGAAAGCGACAGAGTAGTAGTCTATACACGAAGCACACTGGGACAGAATCATCGTGCCGACCATGTAGGGACACCAGCAGACGAAGAACACCAACAGTAGCACGGTCAGGTTCACGGCCAGTCGGCGGTGGAACATTTTGCCGAGTTCGGTGGCGGTTCCCCGGCCGTCTGCGGAACTTGGGCGGCGTCTGAACCAGCGGATGGCGTGGCAGTACACCTAGGTAGTAGTAGTATTATTCATTAAAGACATCCAGTGCGATTTCAGGGCAGCAAAACTGGAAATATCCTGAATAAGGCAATCTTTGTGATATTGTGAGGCTTATACTGACAACACATCACAGCAAAATATATTCATTCATAAATTTTAAAAATGTAGAGTTGAATTTAAAAACATTGATCATTACTTTGAAATCTATAGGAGCGATTAGTAGTTTTTAGAAAATTGATAGGAGTACTACTCAGTGGGGTATTACACCTTCAATACGTAATGTTAACAGTTTTGAAAAGAGCAAAACAAAACACGGAGTAGATTTACAGCAACTAGAGCGAGTAATAAAAGTTTAGTACCTGCGAGTACAGGTATGACAGTAGGGCGAGCGGCACGACAAATTCCATGAAAGACATGGTAAAAGTGTAAGCCGCACTTCTCAGAGGAAAGTCCGCCTCACATCGGTTTGTCTGGATGGGGTTAACTCCTGTAAAAACGTCCCAGAGAAGAATAGCAGGACCGTACATGAGGAAAGCAATGATCCACGTACACGCCAGCAGAGCCAACTTCACTCGGAATGTCTTCGCGCGATGCCTGTGAGGCCGGACGATCTGTAAATACCTGTAGTAAAAGAATTATTGATTAAAAAAACATGGGACAAATCGGCCTTGTAGTAAAAACTTAATCGCGCCTAAGTTTACAATCAACATATTCAGTAACTAAAGCTAACACGGTGGGCTATTATAGTACATTGAACCTTGTACACAAACCTTGTACCTTGAACCTAGTACACAGACATGAATATACAAGTTACATTCAATATTGTCGACATATGGTTAATAATATAACGTGGTGGTTCAAAATCAACACAGTTAAAAAAACAGCGTTATCGTTAATTTTGGAAAAGGTGGGACATTACCGATTACGTCTTCCATGGTTTACAGAAGAGAAGTCAAACCCTTCAGACATAGTTTTAGACATACACGTAGATATAGTTCTAGACAGCTACCTTTATCATGTAGACTTTAGTTATCTTATACCCTGTTTCATTGTTCTTTTATGTTTTGTAATTTGCAATTAGCCTCCGGGCACGAATTTGCAATAAGCTTTTCACCGTTACCTGTCGAAGCTGATCAGCACCATGGACAGGACCGACTCGGAACAAGCCGTGAAGTCCACAACCAGCCACGCCTTGCACAGCGCCTGCGACAGCGGCCAGTGCCCTATCACATTCTCCGCAATAGTAAAGGGCATGGAGATCGCCCCCACCGTAAGGTCGGCCACGGCCAAATTGAGGATGTACACATCGCCTGTAGATCGGAGCTTTCCGTCCTTGGTGAAGACAGCGATAGCTAGGACGTTTCCTATGATTGTAACCGCGCTGAGACAGCTGAAAAACGTGTTTAGAACGATAGTGCCTGCGCTGGCCATAGCAGTCCCGGGACCTCCAATCTTTCTATCCTGGAATACTAGTAACTTGCACAGCTCCTAACAACGTGTTTAAAGTCCTTATCACCTCACTTCACCAGTCCCATAGCTGTCACGTTTCAGGCGTAGGGCCAATGTGGCTTTCAACAAGAGTTTTCCACCTCCGGCGATTCTCCGCCAGTCCTGCCAGCTGGCCTATGGGTTGTCCTGTCCACTCTTTCAAGTCGCTGGTCCAAGTCTGGCGAAGACGCCCCCTAGGTCGTACACCCTCTAATGCCAACTGACAGTGTTTTCTACAATTGTAACTGCACCGATACAACCAAAGAATGTGTTGAGATCGACACTCCCTGGGTCAGCCATAACAGTACCTCCGATCTTTGTATCCTGGAATACGAACTTGTACAGCTCCTAGCAACGCGTGCAAAGTCCTTGTGCCATATGACTGATGCCTGTTGACAGTAATGGCGTGTACCCAAATGACTTAAGTTCTTCCTGTCAGAACTCAAAGTGAATACAATCACTCAACAGTAGGCCGATGGCAAGGGTCTTGTCCACCGAGAAAATACACTCAAGCAATATACTTAACAGGTGGTCCTTGTAATATAATCGGATGTTATAAATATTGGCATGACCAATCCTTTTTAGTGCACATGATTCACGTGGTTCACGATGTGGGAAAGCAGGCACGACGATTTGATTGTTTTACCATCTGCATATTTGCTTGGATCTTTACAGCTTCAATTTATGCCCTAGTTTCAACTTCACATGCAGAATGCCTATTTACTTACATGCCTGGCAGAAAGGATATATTACAAAATCTATACACAATTTTTATGATAAATGAGATGAAATCTATTATGGTAGATTCTATGACTGTTAGGCATTGTTTGTCCGAAATTTAAGACTCTAGCACACCCAGGAGAAATCATTTTACCAAAATTCAAGGCCCGGTTACCTCAGCCTTTTGACTTCCAGACACTAAAGAGGTGAAACACATCCGTCATAAAGCGATTTAGCACGCTGATCCCTTCCCTGGAGGGAAATGAATACCGACAAAATGTTTGCTCGAGAAAATCGAGGCTGTAAAAAGATGCTGTGTTGGACAGGAGGGCAGTTGTATGACAAAGAGGGGTGACATCATGGAATGAGAAATGCGATAGCAATATGAGAGTGTAAAGCAAAGATACAGATGGTAGGGAGGTGGGCTATTGTAAAACCATGTTGTTCCAGTGAAAAGCAATAGAAACACCTGTAAAGGTGTCAACATTGAGTGATGAAATATTAATCAGGTATATGGTGTCTGTATTAAAGAATGGCAGGATACAAACATGTATAACCATGGAGCTATAATATAGCTCCATGGTATGATTGATCATGAGTGTATGTACTAGTAGGCATAAGATAGAGCATTTATATTGCAACATTTATATTATAACAGAGTATCTCAAACTCAAGGCAAGGAGCTGTTTTTTTTTCCAAAGTGTTTTTGTATTTTATTGCTATACAACTGGTATTGTAGTCAAGTGTGTGATATAGATGTGATGATGACATGGCAATAACAATCAACTCCTTTAACCTTACAGGGAACTTACACATGTACGTTTGTACTGCATCAAGGACATGTCAAATTACTAGTTTCACAATATGTAAGATTTACCGGTAGTTCCTATCCTTGTTATCCACTGTTCCTAATATGTGTATTATGATAATAATTGAATACAGCTACCATGTCTTCACATGTCATTTTTTCAGAAACACATTCACTTTACAGTCTTTAAATACAAGTAACAGACAAAGAAATTTCAATTTTTTACTATCCCTCTTGCTTCTCTGTAACTTCCATTTTTGGCTCTGACCTTTCAAATATAATGTTACATTCCTGTGTTTCTTATCAAGTTTTCTTCAACTCTTATGGGTGACTTTTTCAAAATGAATCTGTCTTTCTGGCAGACAATGTCGGGACAAAAGAAAGATACACGTACAATCATTTTTGTTAGAGGATAAGATGGGACCATGTCAAGCCCTCTTAGCCTGGGTGCCATCCTCTGTGGATGCTAGCTACTACAGACAAACTGCTGAGGATAGCACCCAGGTTAAATGCCTCTAGGCTGTTAATAATTTATGCAAATTTATCCTTGACGAAGATCTCCTCGGGCGGCAGGTTGGATCCCCGGATGAGTTCCTCCTCGACATTCTCCAGCGCCCACTGATGGTCCGTCACCTAGAAGAGAGAGATTGGTTAATTCGTACCATACAAGTACATACAAAAGCCTGTAAGCAGCCATAATTGGCTGAATTGAAAAGGCTTTAAAACACAGAATGCAATTATAGTACAGCTAAGTGTTCAGAACCTTTGGTAAAAGTTTGTTACTTTTGATAAAAACCTATTCGTTACATATCATACCTCCAGCGCTTCCCACTCAGCCTTAAACGCCTTATTAGGGTCAGGGGGCATCGCCATGGCAGCACCAGACATCTGCTCCTGTATAGCACATGGACGAAACCTTTTAGTGTACCGGTATTTCTTATGATCAAATCACACTAACAGAATGTAAGTACAGCACGACTTTCTACCAAATAGTCAACCCCAAAATTCCATTACTTACTTTCCTTGAAAATATGTGAGGAATGGTGGCAAGTTACATGTACATCCCTAGCCGAAGCTAGGTACTCATTTTCACCAGAATGAAGTGGGGAAAGTTCTGTAAAGTGACATTCCCAGGAGGCAGAGAAGATCAGTGACATGGCAGGATTCGAACCCAGGACCTCTTGGTTCTGAGCCAAAAACTGCTGATACAGCCACATGACCCTACTTTTCCTTTCCTTACCTGCATGACCCGTGACGTGTCTGCAGCGTTGTTCTCCCCCAGGATGAGTGTGTAGAAGCTGCGCAGCCCGAACACGTTCAGATTGATTCATACTACCTGTACATACTAGTACTGTCTGTCTTCCCTGTCACAATCACAATCCTTTCCTTACCTGCATGACCCGTGATGTGTCTGCAGCGTTGTTCTCCCCCAGGATGAGTGTGTAGAAGCTGCGCAGGCCAAACACGTTTTTGTTCCGGTAACTTATCATTCCCTTCCTTGTCCTTTCCCTTCCTTACCTGCATGACTCGTGATGTATCTGCAGCGTTGTTCTCCCCCAGGATGAGTGTGTAGAAGCTGCGCAGGCCAAACACGTTCAGGAAGTACCAGGACACGGAGCTGACCCAGGAGGCGTCCAGCGATGGCAGGTCCACGCCACGCTGCAGCATCGGCTTAAACCGAAGGGTCAGAGGGAAGGGCACCTGGGGGGCAGTTAAACAGAAGGGAAGTTTAGTAGATAGATGAGGATGATGACTGTCTTTTTTGCTGTTTATTTTGTTTTATGCTTAAGCTCTGGTCCTCAACTTAGCAGCTGGGCTGTCAGTTGTTGCATGACAGGACGCTGTCATACAGCAATGAGGCATGCGTTATTGGTAGGCCCACTACATCTTCATGGGACCACAAAGGCCTGGAGCTGCTGCCATTTGGTGCTACTCAGGTGACCTCAATACAACAATTGTTTATTTGCAACATGTACACAAACACACATAACAATGCAGCCTAACCTGGCTGAAGTGGGGGTATGAGACAAAGAGCATATCTTAAAATTCATTCAATAAGTCCACACTGAAAGGTAAGGTACTATTCTTAAATCTAGAAGCTCTGCAGCTGAGTCTCTTTATTTATCTACCTTTGTTGTGAGAAACCCAGAGAAAGCCCAGTTGATCCAGCCACCGATGACAATCATGGGAAGAACGCTGGTCAGGTTTCCCTTCAGCATGTCCGTCATCATTGTCGGGTCTGTCATGGGGTTCTTCATTACTGGTTTCCGTTTCTGCTTCTTGAAGTAGCCGCTCTGTGGAAGGAAACACAAAATCTTTAAATCTTTAAAACTTTTGCTCGAACACAAAAGGGAAATGTTCTCACTTAAGACTTTTGACAAGCCACTGTGGTCTTCCTCAGTAGACTGACTAACACAGATGAACTTTCATGAAGACAAAATCTATCCAGTTGTTTAAGTAACTGTTTTGTTGTGTATCTCATTACCTGGGTGTCTAACCTTCATCTAGCCTGGTTGCCATCCTATCTATATCCTGGTGATCCCAAAATCAGCCTCTAAAAAATACATTGTATGCTATGTGAGTGAGCTACATGACGAGTGATGCTTGAGTGAGGCTAATCTTCATTGATGTACAAGTAAGGAAATTTATGATTCCCACCTTCAATAACTGTTTACATATCAAGCATATGGCTAGCTATAGGCTATGATGTTACCGAGATAAAAGATAAAATAGATTATAATAGATAAAAAGGCAGATGACAACACTACACCAACCTCTTCCTCGTTGAAGAAATGTTTTCTCATCAGGAAAGACTGACGGGGGACGTATTTCCCATGCTCCCTCAGTAATCGGCTTCTGATGAGAGCCTGGCTGTCAGCAACCTGTGCAAAATCAAAGGGTGAAGCAGTCATCATCAGGTTAGGTGATGAACAATGTTAAAAATCAAAGGGTAACTTAAGGAGTTGTCATCTGCTGAGATGATGAACAATGTTGTATCTACAACAGTTAAGCTTGGCTGACAAATGATGTAATGTGGTTTGCCACACCTTCATTTGCTTTGGGCAATGCACTGCATTCTGTATTTGTATCTTTTGTATCTGTATAGCCAGTATATGTGCCCTTCAGTGTAACATACCAGCTTCACAGGCACGCGGCGTGACGACATAATATGCTTGTCAGTCAGCCAGTGTGATGGGTGATTTAAAATTGTGGTTACCCTTAAAATGTGACATAACGTCACCTCTGAAGGACTACAGACATTTGTGGATTATACTGCGATTATACTGGTACCTGAACATGTTGGATTTTCTATAGTATTCCTGGCTATAATGTCTTTATTACCTTTGAGTTTTGATACAAATTATCAGATTCTTTCCTCACATCAAGATCACAGTCAAATTCTGATTCAGACCAGCACTAAACGCATACCTGCTGTAGCTCCACCTTCTTGTCAGACTGCAACAGAAGACTGACGTTGTGTCTGATAAGGCCCACAAGGAATGTGATCACGACGATGGGCATGAACACCCAGATTCGTATGGCTGGGTCCAACAACAATTCTGGGTCCGCCATCTTGAAAAAAATTTTTCGGTCGCCCACGATTTTTCAGGTCAACTATACGGTGCCTAGATGGCTAGGTGGTCGTCCAAATTGTTGTCAGAAGATTCTAGGTGAACTAAATATTCTATCACAGGAGAACATGGGTAGAATGTGTCCTTAGATAGCGCTTAAATCAATCGCGAAGTTGGAAATGTCAGAGAACATACGTCACTAGCGCATGGACACCATTTTGTTGTGTCATAGGTCATCGCACGGGGTTACTCGCGGTCAACATTATTGCGCATGCCCAGATGAGCAACGGAAACCAAAATGGCGGCGGGTCAGGACTGAAGTTCTAAAGTTTTCGTTGAATTTTACCCACAGTTTTACACAAACCAGGCGGTTTCCAGCTCCTATCAGAGTATATTGATTTCTTTATTTTGTATTTCACCATTTTATACGGATGGCAGACCACAGACAGGTAAGTTTTAAGCGGCCCTTGCCACGTTTTGCGACCAACTTTGAGCAGAAGGTTTTGGGTATGTTCGCGCCTCCTAACTTCCGGCGGCGATTCCAAATATCTTTGATCCTAAAAATCGACTTGTGTATGTTTATAAGCCCGTCAGCAAGAGTCTTCAGCTGTCCTTTCCTCGGACATACGTTCCGCAGACCTAGATGATTCAAATTCTCCGTGCTCACTTTGCCGTAACCTTTATTTACCACGTTCAGACGAGAGTAATTTGAGCGGGGATTTTTCAGGGTGTGTCTCGAAAATCGTATGTCATCACAAGTGGTCCCCCAAATGATGTGATAAATAAAAGGAGGTAGCTTCAACAGAGCCTTGTCCATCCCGTGGCTCGAACCACGACCGTTTGGTTGGTCGATCTTTGTGCAATGTCCAAACTATGGCAGGCAACGTACAAGAAACCGGAATATACGGTATGCATTTTGGAAAGTATTTGGGCTTTCGTGTCCAAGTGGTAATTTATTCGGTACTAACCCGCTGGCTCTGTTTTAACTACCGCCTTTTATCACAAACATGTCGGGGGGCAAGGGCAGGAAGACACAGGCCAGGCCTCAGGCAGTCCAGCAGTGTGTATCCACGGAGCTATCTTGTTCATGAAGCCTTTTTCCATTTCAAGCTTTTAAGGTGCCCCATTCTGTGGAATTGCAGGATCCAAACTTTTTGCTATGTTAAATTTGTAACAACAAAACGTTAAGTGGTACAGATGGTACCTTTTGTAATTTTTCATAAGTTTCTGGGCTAACACCTTTGGTTGAATTATGTGTGTAAACAAAACACTGTCAACTTGACTGCTCTGTGCTTTCTGTTTTGATCACAACTTGATTGATAATTTCCAGCATCCATTTTGTTTGTTCAGCACTCTTCAAGAAAACACAGCACGGGAAAAGTTTCACCTTCACACGGAATGGGGCACCTTGCACAATTGATTCACAGGGCTCGAAATACTTTTTCTTCAGTTTTCCTACAAATTTGCTGCCATCAGAAAAATTGCTCAAATTTTCTTTCATTTCCATGAAACAATTGGTTAAAAGAGAAAAACTGAAAAAAAAAACATTTATTTACTACTAATTTAGCATTTCAGTGATGGTAGCTATCACTACTCTCCAAGCAGAGGTTGATGGGGGAAGATCGTTCGCTTTTTATATATAGCCCTTTTTTTCTCGTTGGTGGGGGTATCAACAACAAAAAAGGGCCATATATAAAAAGCGAACGATCTTCCCCCATCAACCTCTGCTTTGAGAGTACCTATCACAATGGGAAAGAAAATCTGTACTGTCATACAATGCATTTGTATGCCCAGTACATGGACCAGTTCAGGTAGATATCAGAAATACCTGCACAACTCCAGTTTACCCCTACCCAAACCTGCATACAAATGTTATGCAGGTAGTATTTTGAGCCCTGCATTCAAGAAATAATCCTTTTCATTTCTCTTCTGTTTTTTGTCAGTCGGCTCGGGAAGCCATACGCACCTCTGGGTTTTTCAGTGATGATCGTATTGCTAGTTCAAAGGTAACTTTTCCTGATAAATGCGGGTAAACCCATTTCACCCACCACCGCATTAACCAAACCATCCAAGCTACGGGACATAAGGTGTAGAAAACCGGTAGCATCCATTTTGTGCTTTTAATTAATTAATTAAAGTTCCCATGTTTTTTGTATATTTACATCTCTGTTTTCCTCTAGGTGCGTCGTTCACATCACTTAACTAATTCTGACCATTTCCCTGCTTTTTTCTCCGTCAAATTCACCTCACCTTTCCCCTCTTCAGTTTTTTTTCTAGCAGTTTAAGTGTTGATTCAACAACCATTTGCATGCTCATGTTACTACATGTAGTTTAGAGTAGTCGTGTAGTAGTAGTAGTAGTTCTGTACAGTCTTTAGACAGAAGTTGTTGCTGCTTGGATCAAACGATTGAAGCCAAGGAAACATTTCTGTGATTTAGAAAAATTAGAGAACTGAAGAAAGATTGGTTAATCTCAGGATTTAAAAAAAACCCTGCTATTTAAAAAAAAGCACAACTTCTTGTCAAAAGACAACTTTCACCTGTAGATATCCCTCTTTCAGCTGTCTTTCTTGTACTGCTATTGTCTAACCTTGATTATCAGGTGTGGCTTTGGGCAACCTAGCAAAATACTAGTACCTCTTTCTTGCTGGCAGTTACAGCCTTTTTAAGGTTACTAAGCCAATTACCTAGTAATCAAGGCTAGGCATGGTTTAAACCACAATTTCCTCTGTTTTCTATTTGATGATATGTGGTAGTAGTAATAATGAATAAATGTTACTAGTTGATAGTAGTTGTAGATGTTCTGTAGACAGCCTGTCAGTGTCAGTACAGTGTGGGTACATGTAGATCCCCTTTTGTTCTCAAAACATAGTTTTGTGTTCTTCACTATAGCAGTAGATGCTGTACGTCTTTTCATGTATCCTCTGCTTGGGAAAGGTTTGCTGTTCTTTTGGCAAAGTCATACTATTTCTGTCACTTATATTCTGATTGACAGAGGCAGAGAATATCAAGAAGTTGGTGAAATATTTTAGAAAGAAAGACAATGTTTTTAAACACTGAAGAGTGAAGAGATAACACAATAAGTGGTTTAGTTCCAGAAGAAAGCCAAAAAACTTATTAAAACTACAAAGTATTTATAACAAAAGCAGGAAAATAAAAGAAGAGTTGCTTTTAAAAAGAAGATAAGATGTATATACATGTAACTGACAGGTTGTCACAGGAACTAACTTGTTCTTCATATTGTTGCTCCCTGTTCCCTTGTTCCTATTTTTTTTTGTGCTGCTGTGTTTGTGGATGCCTTGTACCAATGAATGACTTGCCGTGCGGATCCTTTCCCCCATGTGCACCGCGAAGCAGTTCGTGAATCCGGAGCAGCCCGGCTACGTGGGCTTCGCCAACCTGCCCAACCAGGTGCACCGCAAGTCCGTCAAGAAGGGATTCGAGTTCACGCTGATGGTTGTTGGTAGGTTCTTAAAGAAAAGATTACAAGAGCAAGATATTATTAATTCTAGAGTCCAATTTGATATAATATTTTGCAATACTTTTTGTACTCACCATATTTCTGCTACTATTTGAAGTATTTCTAAATTTGGGTAAGTCCCCGACTCCCAATTTGTGTTGGAAGATAAAGTTTAGTCATTCATCATATTTCTAGTTCTACTTCTTGAATCCCGTCATTCTAATTTCTACCAGAGAACAAGTGTTATGCATTGTGTATATGTCTACTATATATATATATATTAGTGGTGACTACATCATCATTATCAAGTCATCATCATCATAGCTTGTTGCTTTAACTCTCCAGCTAGTTCCATGCTGTCTCGTTGACCTTTCTGAAGTCTGCATCATTAAATAGTAGATGTATGAATCACTTAATTGGAATGATTTCACTACAAATTCTTGTTTCCCTAGGTCATCTGTTAACCTCTGATAATAGTTGTTTTTACTTAGTCGTGCGGTGAGTTGAGACAGGCATGTCACCAAGTTTGTAGTCCAAAGCTGTAGCTGGCGGTTAGCCACACCAGTAAAAATAGAACGTCACATTGTTTTGGCAAGGAATAGAAGCCGAGAATACAAAAGGATTAGGGATACAGGACAAGGGGTATCAAAGACCAGTTGGAACCTTGTTAGCCTGTCTTAGGAAAGTTCAGGGAGGCTGCTTGTTGGGACAAGTTTTGTTTACATTCCTGTTAGAACTGTATCACAGCTAAAGTAGGTTGTTAGGAGATGGTGACCATCTGGCCCAGTCGACTGTGGAACGCATCTGGAATCAGACTGTGTAGGATTCAGACTAAAATACCCCTTGAATAAAACAAAGTCAACAAGAATGTAGGAGTTTGTTTCAACAGTTCAAAACAGCAGTAGATCGTATGTGCAGGAACAGTGTTTTGGCATCGGAAACTGGGTGTAAAGGTCAAGGTGAAATATTGACATGTATGCAAGTTTTGGCTCTGATTGGTGTTTTCATTTCACTGTTTCATACACGCAATGTTTTATACATCTCTGGCTCGATGTTGATAGCTTTACCATTATGGTATGAAGTTTCAATGGGCGAAACTCAACATTACATACAGCTAACACATACACTGACTCTTTGAATGTTATATTGAAAAAAATGTTATGAAAACTTAAACTTTTCTCCAACTCAAGATTTGACTCACCAGAAATTTTCGACCGAATCACTCAGTCTTCCTCAGCTATCTGACCCAAATGCTGTGGACACGTGATTTTTCCCACGTGTGACGTCAGCAAAGGGTCAAAGGTTGTCTGAAGTCGATATCGCCCCCCGTCCCGGGCACTTCAACCATCGCTCAACCGGAACGGGGGCGATATCGACTTCAGACAACCTTTGACCCATTTCTGGTGAGTCAAATTTTGAGTTGGAGAAAAGTTTTTCATAATGTAATTTACCAACTCAGATGAACTTTCATGCTGATTGAAAAAAATGCTTAGAGTACTCAGTCATTGTACATGTATATTGTACCAAATTTTGTATGATTAATAATTTTCCTGCTCTTCTTTTCACATTCACTGTAGAAGTTTTGTTGTTGCACCTGTTATACAGTACTGAGAAGGTTTGTGTGTGTTTTACTAGGTGAGTCAGGACTAGGCAAGTCTACCCTGATAAACAGCCTGTTCCTGACAGACTTGTACCCAGAGAGAGAGATCCCAGGAGCTGCAGGTAATAATTTTCACACCTGCTGAGTTGTCATTATCTGCTCATGTTTAGCCCCAGGAGTCTGGAGTAATTTGCATGCAGCTGCACAATATTTGCACCTTGTAGGCTGTACTTCAGTGCTCCAACAATATAAAAGTTATGTGTAAATTTGTTTTTTAGGCATGTACATCATACTTTAAAAATCCATGATTTCATACCAAGTTTTCTGAAATTACTATCATAGATGTGTGTCACGTTTGTTCTTTGGCTGTCACTGAGGGGATCACAGAAGATGTTTGACTTGATTTGACTTTGTCATTAAAATGTATTTCCAATATGCTGTGCCAAGTTCTTTACAGTATATGTAGACATACTCTGTCCTAGAATCATATTGCTTGTGTATGTAAGTAAACCACAAATGTTGAACCTGTCTGCAGAGAAAATAGAACAGACAGTGAAGATAGATGCGTCGACGGTGGAGATTGAGGAGAGGGGGGTGAAACTGAGGCTGACGGTGGTGGACACGCCCGGATACGGAGATGCCATCAACAGTAAGGACTGGTAGGTCTCTCTCTCAATCTCACTACAGTTTTATTTAGTGTGTCTGTTGTTCCTTGTCTTCAGAATCAGAGGGTTGGATTGATGCTGAGGCTTGATGGCAGCCCACCATTTGCCTGTGTCCTGTGGGTTGATGTTGTACAAGTTAAGGTGGTGGAAGTGCTCTTTTATTTGTCAATCTATCTTTTCCTTGGTCAACCTCATGGGTTTTGGCCTTCCACATCCAGTGTGAGGATCTTCCTAGGCATTTTAAAGTTTTAGAATGTATAATGGACATAGACTTATACTTTTCGTTTTAGGGCCTGGGAAATATTTTTCTGCATATCTGCAACATTGAAAATTACCTGTGTCGGACAAGTTTAACCTGCAACACTCTGACTTTGAGAAGTATGAAAAACTGTATTTGAAAAACTATCTGACTTAAAGCAATGACTGTCTGTACATTAAATCATGAAGATAAACGGTTTTGTACAGTTTATGCCAAAGGCTAAACCCCAGGAGACCCAATTCTGTCAGAAACCATTTTTACAACCCCATATCTCACAGATGTTGTAGGGGATTAACTGTACACTACACAGCCCTGTTTTGTTTACGTGGCTTGCCAAAACAGTCAACATACACAGTGAAGATAGCAAGTCTACTTAAGTTTTATTATTACTTATCACTCTTTCTGAATTACCTTTTTTTGTACCAAAAGTCGTGCATTGAAGTAGAATGTGTTCATTTGATTTGTAAGTTGGCTACTGCCTAGAAAGCTCAGTTCTATGGCAGTGTGGTTCTTTTCAGATGAAGTACTACAGAAAGTCTACAAAACTGTCAACATGGACCATTAGCCCAAGTCAACCCATGTGTTACTTATCACTTTTTCTGAATTAACAATTTTGTCCCCAAAATCCCACAAGTCATCTATGGATGTAGATTGACCTCATTTATATTGGCTACTGCCCAAAAGCTCAGTTTCATGGCAATGTGGTTCTTTTCCAATGAACTACATGTACTACAGAAAGTCAACAGTAAGCTACTACATGTAGTACCAAAATAGGACCTCTCTCAGGGAGGGATGTTTACAGTGATCCGTGTTATTGTCGAGAACCAAGGTCACTGTCGTTAGCCAGCAGGAACATGTAAATATACCCTACTAACTGCAGTCAGCTCCTGGGGAGATGTGGTTTCTTTGGGGAATTAAATAGAAGCCTACCAGTGGTTCACTAATACTTTAAGCAATATTATGTAAGATTTTCAATATTTTATACATCATTTGTTTTACAGATTTTCTTGTGCTATAACTAGTATAAGCCTACCTGGGTTCATAATGACATTTGGGGAGTAATAAAACTAAAAGATTAACGTCATTGCACTGCAAAAACATGCTGGTCATTAGCTCGCAGGAACATGTAAATATACTCTGCTGACTGCAGTCAGCTGTTGGGGAGATGTTGTATCTTTGGGGAATAGAACTTGAAGCTCCCCAAGTGGTTCACTGTGCTTAATGTTTGTCAGTGATTTTGATACAATTAATAATTCATATCATTCATCGGATTATCAAGTACATACAGTTGTTCATGTCGATTCTTTGGGGAATATAAGCCCCCCCCCCAAGTGATTCTGTATGTTCGTCAGTGATTTTGATATCATTAATAGTTCACATCAATCATTGGATTATTGGGCACATACAGTTGTTCATGCCAATTGTTGGAGCCAATCGTCATCAGTTTTGTCTACTTTTATGGCATTGAACCAAAAGGTGAATGCATCTCTGTTTCAGTAATATGAATGAATGAATGAATGAATGACTGTTTATTATCGTGCCATTGCGATCAATATGCCGCCCAGCCCATATGGGCTTATAAGGCACCGACAAAATACAAAATCAAAACAAATCAAAAGTGTTAGTATGTTAAAAAAATCACACAGTCACACACTCAAAGATGCATTATGCTTTGTCTCAAGCATTTCAATTCGATTTTGATTGAATGCTGTGGTGAATGATCTCTCTCTCTCAATGTGTGTTTGCAGCTTCAAGCCTATCCTGTCGTACATAGATGACCAGTTTGAGAGGTACTTCCACGACGAGAGCGGGCTCAACAGACGGAACATCGTGGACAACAGAGTACACTGCTGCTTCTACTTCATCTCCCCCTATGGACATGGGTCAGTACTGCAGCATACAAGAATAGTCTGGATAAGTAATCTGCATAGCCATAAGTGAATTTTATGACTGTTGGAATGGTAGAACTAAATTTCGTTTACTACCATGAAAGTTCATCTGTGTTTCAAGTTTAAACTTTTGTACTGAGACAAAAGATTGCTCTTACCTACATGTAGACTAGAGCTTTTGACCAGTCACCCTGGTCTTCTTCAGCACACTGACCCAGTGAGACTTGTCACCTGGCTTCTCTGAAGTGTGACTCCAACACTGGGACAAAGGTATCTGGTAAATGTCGGAGAAGCCATATAACAAGTCTCACTGGGTTAGTCTGTTGAAGAAGACCAGAGAGCTGGTCGAAAGCTCTAGTCTGGGTGACAACAATCTGTTTGGTTTGGCTCTCATGTTGCCTTACCTAACATAACGAAAGTGTGATTGAACAATACATTTTCCTTTGCCCCACCACTCATTTAAATGTGAAAAATATCTTATTTTATCTTTTATTAAGGCCACACCAATTTAATTTGTTGGTTCTCGGATTCGCCTCTTCGTTTTTTTCTGAATTGCAAAAAAAAAAATTTGATTCTGGTTGTGAATCAACTGAAAAATGCTCATGTTTTGCCCCCAGCAGTTGAGGAAAGTCCTTTTCTTCCTAGTTGTTACAGTTTTCCCATCTATCATTGCAGTGGTTTGATTAAAAGTTCAAAATTCAATGTTTAAATTTTAACCCAGCCTTTTGTGTTGACTTCATGGCTCATATTAGCCTATAATAGGATGCCTTAGACCTGTTTTTATTTTATGTTTTTTTCGCCCTGTCGCTTCATATTTTTTCTGAAAAAATCCGAGAACCAACAAATTAAATTGGTGTGGCCTAAAAGTACTGTTTTCTGTCCCTTCTGTTGTAGACTGAAGCCGTTGGATGTAGAGTTCATGAAGGCCCTGCACCACAAGGTCAACATCGTTCCTGTCATCGCCAAAGCCGACACTCTCACACCAAAGGAGGTCCGCGCTCTCAAAGCAAGGGTAAGCGTTGCAAGATCTAGCCAGTTGCTTGAGTAACAGTTTTCTTGCATATCTCATTACCTGGATGTCTTAGACCTTAATCGACAAATCAAGCTTGTTGCCACCATGTTCATGACTTGTTGGTGTATGTTGATTTTTATTTGCTGCATTTAACAACATTACAACAACAACAACCATGAAGTACAAAAACGTATAAAAGAAATAATGGTAAATTTTTTTTAACAGTTTTAGTTTGATCCATGCTTCTTAAATTCTGAGTGGTGCAGGTCAAACCTGTCTGGTGTAGGTGACTTTCAGTGTTACCTGCACTGTAGGAAAAAGTATTTTGAGCCCTGGATAAGTGGAAAGCATATCTACATTTAGCATGTAAATCATGTGTGTCTCTTCCGCACATCTGATGACACTGTAGATTCTGGAGGAGATTGCTCAGCACGGCATCAAGATCTACCAGATGCCAGACTGTGACTCAGACGAGGACGAAGACTTCAAGGAACAGTGTAGGCTGCTGAAGGTGAGGATAGAATTTGATAGTCCTATATGAGTTACTGAAGAAACCATAACATTTACTGCTTACTGGGGGTTGGTACCTTTTGGTCTGAACTTGGCCTGATTTGGAATATAACACCCAAGAACCAAACAAAGAAAAAAAAACAGAACAATTCAAACCAAAGTAATGAACCAATTCAAACACAATCGACTTTCTCCAGAATTTGATGTATTGGTTTTACTGTTACTTTAATCAGGTTCAGACCTGGATTTGGACTTGGACCTACCGGTGATAAAATTGAACCGGTACCCACCCCTACTCCTTACTGGGATGAGGTCTATTCTTTTGGATCATTGGGTAAAATATTAGGATACTGAAGATTATGCTTTTCCAGACAAACATCAAGGTTTCTAGTCTTCTGATACTGTACCTACATCTGTATAGCCGGTATAACCACCCTTCTGCGTAACACACGACTACTGCCTTTTGTTGTTGCCTGTGTTTGTTGTGTTTTTGATGCAATGGTTTTTCAATACAAGTACAAGAGATTACTATTCTAGCAGACTGTGTGGAAATACTTAAAACGTATTTTGATCCCAAATACAGGCGGCCGTGCCATTTGCTGTGGTTGGATCCAATCAGATGATTGAGGTCAAAGGGAAGAAGGTCAGAGGTCGGTTGTACCCCTGGGGCGTTGTTGAAGGTAGGTCCATTCTATTCATGAGGGGAGCATTCCAGAAGGTTTTTTGTTCAATTAAAAAAGTAATTATAATATATTGGATGCATTTAGATTATAGCAATAATAAGGGGTGTAAATTGTTCTACTTTTTCAGTGGAAAACCCTGAGCATTGTGATTTCATCAAGCTGAGAACCATGTTGATGTGAGTATGGCATTCATGCACCAAACACACTGCAGCTAAAATTAACAATCATACAAAATGCCATCTTATGTTTAAAACGATACAATCGTTAGCCTGTCTTATGATTTCAGCACCTTTTGGTACAACATTCTGTTTTGGCAATACACGTGTATTTGCCTAACATGTATCATGTGTATGAGTAATAATGTATCCACATATGGTTACTCCAGATTTCCACAAGTGTCAACAAGCCTCAAAAGATGAGGGCTGAAAAATGGTTACTAATTTCTAAAATGCTACAAAACAAGATAGAAGAAAGTCTCCATGAATGTTAAACAGGAGAGCTTTTCATTTTTTGCTTACACAAACTTGTAAATGCATGTTCCCATTGATGTGCACATTGATGTACCGGTGTCTTCCCTGTAGCACCCACATGCAGGACCTCCAGGAGGTGACCCAGGACGTCCACTACGAGAACTACAGGTCAGAGAAGCTGGCCATCAACAAACGCCGGGCAGGGTGAGTCATACTAGATGTGCAAAGGCCTGCCTGCGTTTCTATAACCCACCCGACGTAATACGTACGGGTGTGCCATAAGTCCTGGAACGGTTTCAATTCACACTGTAAGGTACTCTTGTCTCGTACCAAGAAAAAAAAAGAAATCTTCTTCTGCAGTACACTACTCATCTGTGGAACGGTTTCAATTTACACTGCAAGGTAGTCTTGTACCAAGAAAAATAAATCCATCCTCTCCTGCAGTACCTTACTCATCTGATAGAGGGTGCTTGTGAGCTCACCACTTTTCCAGGCTCAAACTTTGGGAACATTGATAAGACGTATGCTGCATGTCTGCTTTAAAGCTTTAGCTTTTCTACTCAAAGCCTTGCTTTCGTCGGGTCTTGTTAATTTCTTGGCGTGCAGCTGTAATTTTTTTCCGTGGTGGACTTCCAGTCATTTGCTTACTTTGGTGCCTGTTGTGCCAGTTGAAGCCACTCTGCGACTTATGTCAATGTGGTATCGTGTAACCGTAAGCGAAAATCCGTGTTGCATTGAATTGACGTACAACGTGTCTTCTGAGGAATCATGTTTTAAATTTATTGAATGGCGATTTTTTGACAGTATCCTTTGCAGACCTTGTATGCCTCATCTTGTGTTTTTTGAGAACATATCTTCAACATCAGTCGCGCAGTTGTTTCCTGAATCGAAAACAGTTTGACTTTGAGTGCAGTTCACTCCTTGGCCAGTATGGGTTCTATTGAACATCAAACACAACATGTATTTTTGATTCTACCTCATGTAAAAAAACTTGATCAACTTGTTTGTTTTCGACTTTACACATGAAGACTTTTCATTCACACATTCACATTTCAGACACACAAAATTAAAGCAGAGAAAGTTTCATCGCTCCAAAGTTTATGAAGGCTGATGTTGAAGATCGCTTGTAGGTCCTAGTAGGCTGCCGTGCTAAAATAAATGCAGTGTTTTTAATCATGGGTCTATCGGTTGCACCGATGGTAAATAATGTTAACGAGCCGCATAATTACAGTGATTTGCATGCAGTGTATTGCTCATAACATGACTATGTTGCACGTAGTCTTTGCCAGTATGCATGATTTTTTTAACGATGTAACATGTTAATGATTTGGTTGATTTAACTGTCTGCATTGTTTGTGGTGATTTTCATTTTTAATAACTCAATAATTTTGTCATTCAGTTTGATTAATCTTTCTTAGTTCCAAACCAGCTAACGTACAGCTGTCACACACTCACTAATATAAGCCTACTGGGACCAGGGCTTCAACCAGGACCATTGCACAAATATTGAACTGATTGTCTTTGAATTATACTGCAAGGGAATGGTACAAATGTATACCCTACTACTAAGCACTAGTAGTATTTGATCAAAACCAATTTATTCTGATGGAAGTCAAAATTTTAGTATTGCACAACCATTTGCTGAGAATTACAAGAAAAGCCCATAATGTACATCAATTTTCTTTGAACTCCTTTTCTCTGAAAGACATCATGATTTCTACTTCTCCAGCTTCCCCCTTTTTTTTCAAAAGTTCCAACGACATGTTTTTGCTCTCTAGTCTTTTGCATGCCTTTAAATTTAGTTAATTACTGTTGTTGTAGATAGAGTTACGGTAGATACATTATTTACTAGTAGTGACCATTTCCCTTTTCTTCTCTTCCCCTGTTTCAATGTTTGAAGTTTGATTTTCAACAATGTTTTTGCAGTCTAGTCTTTTGCATGCCTTTAAATGTACATGTAGTTACTATAGGTACTGAAGTATTACTAGTAGCAAGGACGTTATATCCTTGCTAGTAGTGACCATTGTCCATTTCTTCTGTTCCTCCCTGCACACACCTCTGCATCGTGCACTGTTTGAAGTTCGATGTTCCAACAGTCTGTTTTTGTTCTCCACAATGTAGTCACTGTCTTTTGCACACCTTTAAATGTAGATTTAGTTGTAGATATAGCTGATATAGCTACAGTATTACTAGTAGTGACCATAGTCCTTTTCTTCTGTTCCTCTGCACACATCCCTGCATCCTGCACTGTGTCATGGAGACATCCCCTCACCTCACCTGACCCCTCCTCCTCATATTGGTGCTCCTTTGGGGTTACTATGGCAACCTGTCACTATGGCAACCTGTCTCTGTGTGTGACACTACCCCATCACTTACCCATCATCCTCCACACACCTGTAAGTACACCTGGGCTGTTGCAACTGTTCAAAAGTGTTCAGTTCTTAAGGAACTTGTTCATGTTCAAGGCAACAATTGTCAGGATGAATAATTGAGAAGAAAGTATCACAAAATAAGAGGACAAATTTAAACCAAAGCCAAAAAAAAGGATTGAAATTTAGAAGCAAGGCATGGAAGTGCATGTTCCCACCAGGACCGAAATGACTGAAGCTGACAAACCCACCAATTCAGCTACTCTCCAAGCAGAGGTTTGGATTTTCGCTTATTTTGGGTGCGTTTTTAAGCTTTGTTATCAGGCTTTCTCTTTTGTACTGGTACCTTTTTTATGTTGGGTTGGCATAAGAAAAGATACCAGTGCAATTTAGAGAGAAAGCCTGATTGAAAAGCTAAAAACATGCCAAAAAACCCAAACCTCTGCTTGGAGAGTACCAACTGCAGACTTCCACACACACACAGTTTTGCTGCGTACGTTTTTTTATGCTTGTTTTTTGCTATGATGTGGTCTTACCTGAAATGTTGCCTTCCCTACTCAGAGCTGCAGTTGCCCTTGGGCACAGGTGGGGATACTCCTATGTTGGATGTTTTAAGATACAGTCTGAGAGTAAAGAGTTTACCCAAAAGATTCTCCAACATAGCTGATAAAATTTCTCAAGCTTCAAATATATGTAAAAGTAGTTGTAAACTCTTGCCAAACAAAGTTAATCGTTGCACACAAAATTGTTGGAGAATCTTTGTTTTAGTCGTGTTTTCTTTGGTGTTGGTGGGATTTGAATGAAACAGCTCAACTTATATTAAAATGTGTGACAATTTAGGTGTGTGCAATATTAGCTAGTGGTGTTATTTACAAGCAATAAGGGTACAGTGTGTTAACATACAGGGGGAAATATGTTGAAATTCGTGTAATATTGATATTTGACAACTTTTTAAAGTAAAAGTAAAGTAGAAACAATTCAGCTTATGGTTTAGGAGTTTTGTGTGTTCGTTGTTTATTGGTGAGCCATGTTAAGGGGCATTCATTATGTTTTTGTTGCTACCATGAACCATGTTAAGGGGTGTTGTGTTTGTGTTGAACAGCACATCGGCAGAACGTACTGCACCTGCGCAAAACCCGTCATGTATAGCACTCCGGCATAGCACTTCGGCAAAACGTCTCATATAAGGTCTAATTTGAGCATATAAGGTTAACATCCCGTCTGTTGTTTCCAAATGTTATGTCGGAAAAGATACCATCTGCAACTGATTCAACATTGATCAAACATCCAACAAAAACTGTGAAAAATCAGGGTTTTGTGCAGGCACAGTACGTTCTGCCGACGTGCAGTTATAGTGCATTGTATTGTTTATTGAACCATGTTAAGGGGTGTTGCGTTTTGTTTTGTTCCCCCCTGAAGTGGCCCTGCCGCGGTCAGTGCTGCGAAAGAGGGACAGGGTGAGGAGAAGGACAAGATTCTTCTGGAAAAGGAACAGGAGGTAAATAAGCACCCTGCACACCCCTTGTATGGAGTGAGCAAGTCCGAAGTCTCACAACAACCATTCATCCATTTTGCCATGTTGTGTCCTCATTTTCAAAGTTCCCTCTATTCTTAGATCATCTTCTGTCGGCTGCTACTTGCAGTCGTCGATTGAGTTTTCTTTGGATGCAATGTCATCTGTTTTGTGTCCTCATTTATTTCTGGTCAGAAATTGTTCAGTTCTCTACTTTTCCGTTATGCTGTTGGCTTTTCCTTTTATCTCAAACTTGTTGTTTGCGTCTCCTTTTGATTAACAGTGTTCCTTTCCCTTGTCCTTTTTTTTTTACACCTCTCTGGTGCTCCTTTCTCCCCATCTTTCCCTTCTCGGCTTCTCTACTTGTCGACTTCTCTCCTTGTCTTTTCCTACTTCTCCTCTTCTCTCCTTTTCTTTCTCTACTTCTCTCCCTTTTTGTCTACTTCTTTCGTTTTCTTTCCTTGACTTTTTGTCTACTTTTCCACTTCTCTCCTTTTCTTTCCCTACTTCTTTCCGTCTTTGCCTACTTATCCCCTTCACTGCTTCTCTCCTTCTCTTTCTCTACTACTCGTCTCTGTCTTCCCCACCCACTGTCTCTACCATGTGTCTCCGCCACCGTCTTTACCGTTTGTGTACCTTTTTTATTTTTATACACCTCTCCTTTCTTTCTCTCTCTGTCTCTGTCACCCATCATCTCTCTGTGTGTACCTGTGTGCGAAGTTGCGTCTTGTGAAAGAGCGAATCGCGGAGGTTAAAGCGGAGCTGGAGCGGCTGGAGGCGGAGCGGCTGCAGGTGGCGCAGCTGGAGGAGATGCACCTGCGGCAGCTGCAGCAGCTGCAGACCAACCCCTGGGTGCCGCAGCCCAGCCACCTCAGCCTGCTCTGAGCACGTCTGTCCACACTGTCTTCTCTGCCTTCTTTTCTGTCATTCTTTCTGTACCTCTTTCTCTGTCTCGAAGATTTTGAATCTTTGTTTTTCTCTTTTTGTCCCTCCTTTTCTCTGTGTCTCTTGAAGCATTTGGGTCTTTGTTTTTTGCCATTTCTCTTTCTGTCCCTCTGTTTCTCAATGTCTCTTGAAGCATTTGAGTCTTTGTATTTCGCCGTCTCTCTTTTTGTCCCTCTTTCTCTCTGTCTTTTGAAGCATATGAAAGTTTTCACAGTGTAACTAAGATGCACTCTGTTGCCTTCTATATTTGTGATGATGTCAACGTCAACTAGACTGTCACATTTGTTATCTGCACCAGTCTGTCCCACAGCTACATTTAGCTTTGTTACCAACCTATTTGAGTAGTACTCGTAAGAAAATTCAAACTCTACTACTGGATCAGTTAACGGATTTATTTCCGGACGTTTCGAGTGACATCCATCACTCTTCTTCAGCGTCACAAATGAACAGAGAACCGATTCGCTCTTATATACAAGTAACTAGAAAAACCGGTTAAACAACAAGGTCCGTAAGAAGCTTTATCATGTAAAAGAACGGTTCCTGTACATTGAATGAACCGTTCTTTTACATGATAAAGCTTCTTACGGACCTTGTTGTTTAACCGGTTTTTCTAGTTACTTGTATATAAGAGCGAATCGGTTCTCTGTTCATTTGTGACGCTGAAGAAGAGTGATGGATGTCACTCGAAACGTCCGGAAATAAATCCGTTAACTGATCCAGTAGTAGAGTTTGAATTTTCTTACGAGTATCGTTTACCTGGATGTCTAACCTTCATCAACGTATTTGAGTAGTATTTTGCTGCTTAATCTCCATTGTCCTCTCCCAAATAGACTCAGCAGCTAAAATAGGTTTGGTGACCAGGCTAGAGTTACATGTGACACAATGTAGCAGTTGATATCACCAGGAATGTCACATTCATTGCCTGCACCTGTTTCTGTTCCGCAGCTACAACGGATGCAGGAGATGCTCGCCCGACTGCAGCAGCAGATGCAGCAGCAGCAGACCACGCAGGTGGCCGGTGCCAACAACGTCCAGTCGCACCACGTCTGAGCGCCGGACAACCGCCGTCACGTAGCACTCACGTCTCCGTACACTGCTGCAAAATTTCACTCAAACTCACATCTTTTGACCCACCGTAAATGCATTTAAAGTTTGCAGCACAAGAATTTTGCATTAAGGGTATACTGCTGCAAAACGTCACTCAAACATCTAGGACCTACTGTAAATGCAGTTTTAAGTTCGCAGCACTGGAATTTTGCGTTAGCTCTGGGTGTCTGCAGTTACATGTCTCTGTACACTGCTGCAAAACTCCACTCAAACTCACGTCTAGGACATACTGTAAATGTATTTTAAGTTTGCGGCGCTAGAATTTTGCGCTAAAGGTGAAAATCGGGGCTTTGCGCCGGTCTTTAAGTTCATAGTTAAGCCACAAGGCACAATGACAGGCAGATTACATGTTTGTGTTGTAATGGGTTGACATCTGCAAACTTTGAAAACAGCTAGAAAAATTACAACGTCACTACACAAACGTCTTATGCTTAGGTGTCAGTACAATGATTATACATCAAGTTAATAGTTATACATGTATTTTAGTCTTTTTTTTATTATTCTACTGATACAGCTTCCATTATATTGGACATCATTTATTGTAAGGCTGGTAAAAGAACTTAGGCTAGCTTCAATTTTGAAAAAGAAAAATGGTGAGATAATGGGTAATGGGCACATTTTCTGAAAATCTGGTTCAGATGCACATCTTCCTACCTTGCCTTTTAGTAAAAATGCTGTTATATTATTTGGATGTTTCTTGATGCAAATGATTAGTTTCAACCCACCTAAGCTACATGCTATGCAGGAATTTTCGCAAACAAAACGTTTCAGAGTTGACCCACTTGAGTGTGTAATGTTTGAGTTTTTAGAATTACTAAATTTCGGAGGCATAGGGGCCTGGGGGTTACATGCACCATTTTCATCATGACTGTATAGTTATATTCTTATCATCATCATAGGAAAAAGTAAGGCTTCCTTTATCAAATAATGAAATATAAAAAGAACAAAGTCATCTTCCTTTGCGACTAGCAGTTTATAGTCCACGGTCACCGAACAACTTACACTTGAAAATGCAACTGCAAGCTTGCTATACTGAAGAAGAAGAAGGTTAGATTATATTACCATAGCAAAGTGGGGAGTTCCTAATACTTACCATGGGATGGATAACTGTTAAACTCAGCAAACAAGTTATAGATATCAACTACTAGTACTTGCACAAGATTATTTTGCTCCAAAAATACAGTAAAGGCATAATTCTTTATCCCTACCCGGCACGAAACAAAACAGAACAAAGGTAGCATCATATTCGTTACCAACATAGTCTATTTATTACATGTACTTCATAATCACATATACACATTGCCTTTTATCCAGTACTGTTACAAAATTCAGATATTGTCTATAAACCTTTAAAATTAAGCCATTGTAGCACCTATTATAATTAAGGTATGTACCTGGGTATATTACTTTATAACGTCACAATCACACTCTACTGTTTATATGCCAATTGCATGTGTTTCATTCATTCATGAGACATAAACATAGCCCGGTATCCAGCTTTGATCTGCTTCCCAACAATTGCTACCAGTTTGCAAAAGTTGAGAAGGCAGAACAAACCTGAATACCAGGCTAACGTAAGCATGTTACAGGGTCACAATATGCTATGACCAAAGGCAACTGTTAGTATTGTCTTGACAAAATGACTGAACTATAGTTTCTATATATTCAAATATCTACACTGGAATGCATTCCTTTTTTATTCAACCTTGAATAGCTATGGACACATGGCAAGTAATGTCAAAAATGTTACGTGTATACAATGCTTTCTTGTCTGTTCAGGTAATTTTTGTGTGTGGATTGGTGATGACAAACTGTATTTTGACGTTTACAGCAGATATTACTGATTATATGCTGCTGAAACTAGTATTATTACTGCCAACAATTCTTTCATTTTAAGTGCCTTCATGTGCATAATGCTAAAATGGAGTTCAACAAAACTGTTACAACTCTTTCTGTTAGTGTACAGCCATTCGGTGTTCTCTACACTTATTTCTCGAACTAAAATGTTACAATGTACAATTAAAATCTACATTTAGTATTCCGAGGACCTATAGCAATGAATTAGTATTTCTATCAAGATGTTCAGCTTGCAAAGTTAGAAAATATAGTCAGTAGAGTTGTTCTTCACAATGCTTTAATGCAGGTATTCAGATTTCAGCCAGCTTTCTGCACATAGCATTAGATATCAAATGTTACTTCATGAAACTGTTGGTACTGGTCAGTCTACAAGTGATGTATAGTGGTGTATAGTCATCAATGTCCACATAGCATTTAGCTGCTATTAATATTCTAAAGCATATTTTCATCCACTGAGTAACAATGTACAGTACATAGTAGGGGTAGGCCTAGCTGTCCAGTGATAGCACTTTAGTTTTTTATGGGAAAGGTTTCGAATGGAGAATGCACACATCTTTGGGGCTGGTTCGTATTTTGTACACTAAGATGGGTGGTATTGTGTTTTTCCTCTTTTCGAACAACAGATCCCCCCCCACCGACCAAATAACTGTCTCCTCTTTGTGTATGCGTAGCTAAAGCTGTTGGGCAGTGTAGCTAATAAATGTTTTGGAAGAAAAAAAATGGTTTGGTTGTTTTATTTCATAGAGTGTCTTAGTCTCTACCAGGCTTCAGGAAGCGGCTGGAAAGAGTCAAAATTGTCAAGAAAGAGCAGAAAGTAGACATGATATTCCAGGGGAGTTGGTCTGTGCTAAGAAAACATTTTGCTACTCCTGAAACTGTTTTCTATGGTGGACCAACTCCCCTGGCATATCATTTGGCTCATTTCTACCCTTTCCAGCCACTACCTGAAGCCTGAACCCCAAAGGAACAAACATGGAAAAGCTAGTGTGTTTAAATGTTTAATGGGTTAAATTTTACTATAACATCCTTGACAAAGCAATACAACCTGTATTTCATTTAACAGAATATTGATACTGTTTCTCATCTTTCACAGTTCTTTTATGATAACAGCGTCAGCATTATACGGTACAATCCTCTTATAGCTGTACTTAGACAATAGAAGGGACTTCATAATAACATCTAAATTATTACTGTCATAATCAAAATACACACTTGTACATTTGAATCTTTCCTTAGAAGATTTTATCTACGGTGAAACATTCTTTTCCTTCAGCCACTGCTGGTACTCAGCCCAGGACACCTGTGATGCTCTGTTACTCGCTTTTTTGCTTATACTCAAGCGCATCATTGGCTCAGTCAAGTCTTGTCCTTTCCTCTCTCGCTCTGCTAGAATCATAGCCCTCAGGAGCGGAGGCACTGGCACTTCGTACGGTGCTTTTTTCTCGTCTGCGTACGTAGAATCTTCAGGGATGGTACAGAATTCTCCTTCCTTTTCTGGGGGCACGATCCACCAGCCGTGGGTCTTGTTCGCGTCGCTGATTTGTCGTTCTGCGTTCTCGCATATCCCGCGCCACGTCCGGACTCCCCACGCCTCCCCGAAGTCCCTTTCCTCGGCCAACTCGTCGGGAACCACCTTGGTAGACAAGAAGAACTTTATTGCACGACAATTGTAACAGGTACAACGTATGGGAATGTTACATACATAGCTGGTGATGCTAACAATATCTAACAGTTCTAAGAGGTGGCAGTTCTAACTCTTCTGAGAAGCTGATCTACTTTCACTAGTTACCATGGTGATAGATGGTCTGGTTCAGGTCATTGTCCAGGTCAGAGGTTACTGGAGAAGAAGAAACTAAGCAAAAACAATTTTTCTCCTTCCTTAAACCGTGGTTAAACCAAGGAGCTTTCATCATGGTTAAACATAACACGGACAACAACAAACCTTTGTGAGCCTCCAGTAGCACGGTTCGGGGTAGCGCGTCTGCCACAGCACACGAGTCACCAGCTTCCCGACCCCCCAGTCCGCCTCGTCCCTCAGGACCTCGAACAGACGCTTCTCTCCTCTCTTGACCGCCTCCTGGACGGGCACGGGGAGGGTCCTGGGTCGGAGACGTGCCTTCTCTCTGTCGGGGAGTTTCTGAAAGGCCGCCTCTCGCTCCTTTTTGATGCGAAGCGCCATCCTTCTTATTCCCATATAATCTTCGTAGAACGGTGTCCGCGGCATCTTTGGTGTCTTATAGTGTCACAGATTGTTAAAGAAATGTGACACTGCCCTAAAATGTTTTTAAAAAGCTGAAAGTCTGGCAAAAAGATGCCCCAAGTTCACGCCTTGCTCACGACATGGGCGCCGCCATCTTGGAAATGAATTGTGGGTACCTCTTTGACGCCACGTAGCGGCGAAAAGGTGCATTGCACTTAACTGCGCGTAATGCGACCAGTCAGAAATACTGCACACCAGGAAAGTTGTGGCAGACATTTCTTTTATCGCGTTCTTGAAAAGAAAAGAAAATAACACGAAAACTCATAAAAGTAAAGTTAAATAACTCCAGTGGCAATTAGAAATAACGCTTCTACTAAGTTATAGTCCTACTCTCCAAGCAGAGGTTTGGGCTCTGCTTGGAGATTATTATAGTCCATCATCTATGCATCTTCCAGAGTTGTTTTGGCCAATTCATCCCAGACTTTTGTAGGCTGTTACTTTCCCTTCCGGCGGTTCCAGACAATTCTCAAACGGAAAAGGTGGAAGTTTTCGGCTTTCAAGCCTCCTTCGTCAATTCTAACACCTTCCAGGTTTTACTCCAAGATCCAAGAACTCACGTCAAGGTCGGAGGTTGACCATTACTCCATCATACCCGTGTAAGTTTCCACCTGTGTCAACGACGTGTTCAAGCTTAGGCCACACCAAGTAAGTTTTATGGATGACGTCCTCTGGAGACCCTATTTAAAAAATCTAATGCCAGAGCATGAAAACAAAAGAAGAAGGCAGAAGAAAAACAAGATGCCAATATTTAAAATATACTAAGAGGCGACAAATGTTACTAATTGTTAGTATACAAATTGAATGAGAGAACACACTGTGTACCAACCAAAAAGTCTTTTATTCGTCATGAACAACAGTTGTCATCCTGTCCTGTTTCATTCCTTTCATCACATCTTCCAATCTTGCCATTTCATTGTCATGACTCTTTGGTCATAGTTACAGGAAGCAGAATTTCTTCTTCAGTTTTTTTTCTGGGAACAGATCAAAATCAATGCGCGCGTGGACGTCATCCATAAAAGTTACTTGGTGTGGCCGTATATACCCCTAACACCCCCCCCCCGAGGTTGCCGCGGTTTTTGTGTGGGAAAACTTTGTTTCCCGAACCTCTAACCCAGGTGTCACGTACAGACCACAACCGAGATGTAATTTGTAGCGAGTGGGGATTAAGTAGACCTTACCCAAACATCTGTAACAACACTCACTAAAGTCAGGACTAGAACTCTCGCAGTAGGAGCGCTGCACCTTAGACCTTAGACCTACAAAGCCGATAGAAGTAAGATCAGTCGTGTCACCGACTTGGAAGAGATACAGACCGTTTTTAGAACCGAAGAACGTGACTTAAGAAGACACCGGAAATCTTCAATCTATCCGACAGGCCGGAGTGTAGTTTCCCATGACCTATCGAAGCAGTGGTCTTTTTCACGACTTGGCGTCTACACTTAATTTCACTTCTAGAGGTTGTCTTTGTTGAGGTAAGGAGATTTCTTGCTTTACTGGGAAAAGTTTCATCTCCAAGCAGATCATACGGTGGCAAGGCAGTATCCATTCAGAGGAGTGTCTAATAGATAGCCTCTACCAGGCTTCGGGAGACGGCTGGAAAGAGTAGAAATATCGCTTGCGGCAAAATGTACTCTCTAGCGGACCAACTCCCTCGGCATGTTATCTCTATTTGACCGATTTCTACTCTTTCCAGCCGCCTCCCGAAGCCTGGTAGAGGCTAGATAATACATGGACACTCCTCCGGCCAATGGATACTATGCCACCGTATGATCTGCTTGGACTGGAGAGTGTATAAGAAGGATACCACCTTGAAATGTTTCTTATCAGTACTATGATAGCGACTTACGACGTGTTTTTCAGTTCCGACTTTGCCTTGCCTGTTGACGCTTCCTTTCTCCGGTTGTATATTTTCTGTATGTCAGAAGTTGGCGTTGAGAGTTCACAAATCATGGCAAGTTGTTTTGGCAAGTTCGCGTCCCGAAACGTTTCCTTGCATGCACGAAAATAATTCTGAGTGGCGAATATTTTCAACGTTATGAATATGTATTTCGGACACCTGTTGTATTTTTAGCACAAGTTTAAGACAGACGGTCAAGTTCCGTGCGTGGTTTCCTCTTCTTTCTTATCTTCTTTCCTTGCCATCCTTCCTCTATCCAGTCATTCATTCATTCATTCATTCATTCATTCATTTCATCTCTTTATTTCCTCCATCTTTGGAGAGCCTCGTAAAATCAGTACAATACAAAATAGAATCTCATTCTTTGACATTTACAAGAGGTTAAATAAAATACTTTTGCAATGTTACACTGTCCCACTGACAGATCCGAGTGTGCACTGCTAAATACTGTGGTCTTATTTCTACGTATTGCACTTGGTCTTAAAAGGACTCATTCATTCAAAAGGATTCATTCATTCATTCATTCCATCTTTAATTCCTTATCTTTTGCGCGAGTCTCGTGCTTACAGTGCTCAATGGTTTCTCAGATAGTAAGAAGAACCCCCCCAAGCAAAATCCAGGCTACGTGCTTGGATTAATTGCGTGTGCAGACCACGCTACCATATCAGTGACACAGGAATGCCAAGCTTTAGCAGATCAGACCTCAAGGTAGCCCAGATCGGTTTGCGGTATGCGTTTCACGCGAAAGTAGTGGCATTTTCTCCTGCTCAGCTATCCTGTTCGCAGTCTAAGCCCTTGAAATTTAAGTGGTTATTCGGACAGCCGTAGTTTTCTGTCTGTAAAAAAAGATGAGTACAAACAAGAAGGGCCAATTAAAACGCATAAAACGCGTCAAAAAATAAGTCTAAGCCGCTTGGAGAGCAGAAAAATAGTAAAAATTGACTATATAGACCAAGACTGAATAATTACCCAAATAGTAAGCCGACCATTCACACATTAACTCTTTGTAAATTTAGTTAGGAAATTTTTGCTATAGATCTATTATTCTAGCGACTCAACGAACCTGGTACATGTAGGTACTATACTTGAAACTAGCCGATGATACCTTTTCAAGCGTAGGCGACTTTTGCATATTGTGGACATTTAAAGGGACACCTGCCCCTCAACCGAACCGTTTAAAGCACCCCGTGCTGAGTCGCTGTAACTATAGAATGTCCCGGCCATTGTTATGACGCGGAGTTAGTCCCATGACAAATCCCGAGTTGGCCTCGCTCCAGATGCGAACACCACAGAGATAGAGGGCCCTTTCGCTGTATTTTCCAAGCAGATGTTTGGGTTTTGGCTTATTTTTGGCGTGCTTCTTAATAGGCTTTTTTTAAATCGTGCTTTCTTTGTTGTACTGGTATCTATTTTGTGCCCCCCCCCCAAAAAAAACCCGACACCAGTACAAAAAACGCACAATAAAAAAAAAAGCCTAAAAATACACCAAAACGTCATTAAAATCTACGCCTGGCTACAATCTATTTTGTGCCACCCCCAAAAAGACACCAGTACAAAAGAAAGCCCGATAAAATAGCCTAAAAGTTAAAACACCAAAACATTGCCAAAGCCAAAACCCCAAACCTCTGCTTGGAAAGCTCCAGCTGTGAACACCAGAGGGGCCTTTTCTGCGCTCTAGCTTCATACATACCCATTGTTTAGTCCCTATTAGCTAATTTTGGCCACGCGCCCGGCTAATAGGATTCTGTTCACCTTGAATTTTCCACGCTTGTTAGACCAAGGACGTTGTTAGGTGGGGGGTTCTCTGCTACCAGCGGCGCCGAATTCACATCTGTTCTCTTTTCAAGACGGAATTTTAAAGGCATCCAGTGCAATTTGAGGATGACAAAACTGGATTTTCAAAGTCAGTTTTCTGTGCATTCTTTGAATGGACTATATATTTAAGTTCCCTTACCATATCTGTGAAGTAAAAATGCGATGTCGCTGACGGAAAAAACATCGGCTTATTTATTCATTGTGTCGTAGGCTGGTTCTAGGTTGTACTTCTCATGTTACTTAATTGCTTTGGTGACATAAATGTGCTAAGAAATGGCAGTAAATGTTAATATCATACAGATTTCTTCATCCAGAATACATTTTTGTTATGCTGCCCTGAAATTGCACTGGGTGCCTTTAAAGCGGAAGTTTCGCCGGCTTCACAAATCAGCACACACTAAACTTGACTAAGTAGCAGGTCCTTGACTCTGTGTAAGATTTAGGCCGACTTTAGACTGACGACGGTATACGATCGCACGACAATCGTTGTTGGCGACGGCTGGCTTTAGACACATGACCAGAATGTGTGGGGACACCCGCAGCGCAGGATGGCACGCCGCGCGCCAATTCAAAATGGCGAGAGAACCCCTTTTTTCGGCATGCTGCAGCAGATTGTTTTTATTCTGCTTTTAACTCGTTGTCCTGTTGATGAGACGCCGAGTTTGTGCCAAGCAAAGAAGGGGTATATGGCACATGTACCGAGCGGGGAAATACTCCGGGTTTGAACCCGGCGTTCGGTGCTGACGTCGGCCTGGCTACATTGGCCGGGAAATGTGGATCGGCGGATTGGTTCACACAGGAAAAGTAGCGATTGGTGGCAGGGGATTGTACTAGACACGTATGACGATATAAAGTCTTTGGTTTGACGACATTTAATGATACAGGCGATGTGCTTGGACATGAAATAACGCTTGCAGGCTTATTTGCATAAGGCTAATGACCTCCCACTTCCGTCGCCGGCGACGGTTCACTTTAGGGACTGTACGATATTTACCGGGGGGGAGGGCCGGTCGTCTGAGGGGGGAGGGCCTAGGAAAAAAAATTTGAGCCGGGGGAGGGTCTAGGAAAAAATATTTTAATTTGGGGGAGGGCCTAGGTAAAAAAATTTTCCAAGATCCCTTCAACTCTACAACGTTTTTATACACTTTCAAAACAAGATTAACGTCTGTCCCATACATATCGTAGCGATTTGCCGGTCATTGGAATCGGCAGAATTTTACGTTCCAATAATATCCATCCCTATTATTATAAATGTATTCGCCCAAATCTCCCACAGTCCTCTTCAAAATCTTGTATTTTCGCCAGAATCGGCGAAACTGGACTACACAGCCAAATTACATGATGGATTAAAGTCATGTCAATCGCGGCTATCGAAAGGATACCGATCAAAAATGTAGGGAAGGCTTGTCGGAAGATTTTGAAAATTAATTTTCGCCGTTCAACGCACCCTTCCCAGTGGTGTGCGTGCGTCGGCAAAGGTGACCCGCTGGTCCCGCCTCGCAACTCGCTCAAACTTCTCGGCGTGGATGTCGGATGTCGACGGATTAATTTGGTATTTTTTTAAACCAAGGACTATTCTAACATTTATATCTATGTCCCTCCAAAGTTAATTGAAAACAACACGTAACTTGGCAATATTGTTTCCTGTTTGCAATAAAATTGACGCGGAAGAAGTTCGTGAACGAAAGGTAGGCTAGATTTATTTCGATTACACTGACTGACCGTAACGTTGCTGACTTTAATAGCTCGATGTACCAGCGAAATTTGTGCTGCCAAATTTGCCCCTCACGGCATGCAAAACATGGGTTGAAATTCAAAATTTTTCCGGGGGGCCATGCCCCCCCCCCCGCCCAAAAGCCGGGCCTACTCGGGCTCTAGTGGCGCCTGCGGCGCGATGGCTCGCGTCTTCGGCGCTTCATGCGGGGAAAATTTTCAATCAAAATCTCGCCCTCCCCATACGAAATTTCACTCTCTATGATTCACGCCGAGGGGAGGGCCTAGGAAAAATTTTTTGAGGCGGGGGGAGGGCCTAGGAAAATTTTTTTTGACCTGGGGGGAGGGCCTAGGAAAAATTTTTTTACGCTACCCCCGGACGACCGGCCCCCCCTCCCCGGTAAATATCGTACAGTCCCTTAGACGGTGGAAAATCCTCCTCGGACCCCCCGCTGAAGGATCGCACGATAGGGTCCGAGGTGGTAGTGACGACGATTCGAGGGTTACCGTCGTGCGACTAATTTTGATCGTGTTTAGACGGTGGTAAAATACCGTCGCCGGCAACATCTTGACGATAAACATTCGTACGACTATCGAACCGTCGTCAGTCTAAAGTGCCCCTAAGAACCACCGCCCGCCCACGCAACGTCCACCGGCGGTTCGGTGATATATGGACTTGAACTTCCAGTCAACCGCACAACTTAAAAACAGGTTATCCACTTTTTCAGTCATTTAAGTTTGATCAAACCCACATGGAACCCACTACACCACTTCAAAAGTTAAAGCACAACATTTGAATTTACTGCGATACTTGTAGATAGAGACATGAAAGACATTGTAGAAAAGGTAGTATAACGTTATATATTATTCCTGTCTTGGTTTTAAGTGTTTTATCACTTTTTCGAGTCCATAGTTTGATCAATCCCACATGGAACCCACTACACAAATTGAACTTGAGCACGCCACTTGAATTTACTGGGATACTTGTAGATAAAGACATGAAAGACATTGTAGAAAAGGTAGTATAACGTTATATATTATTCCTGTCTTGGTTTTAAGTGTTTTATCACTTTTTTGAGTCATTTAAGTTATCAAACCCACATGGAACACACTACACAACTTGGACTTGATCACGACACTTGAATTTACTGGGATACTTGTAGATAAAGCCATTTTGGAAACGTAGTAGAACTTTATATATCATTCCTGTCTGGGTTTTAAGTGTTTTATCACACCAGGATAACACAACTTGAGTTTACCATAAATATCTCAACGCGCCTCGGAAATCTGCGTACTACTGCGGTTGAAGTGCCGCGGTCGTAAACAACATGTCCAAGGCCAAGTCGAAAGTCGATGCTACTGATACATCTGGATTTTTAAGTACTTTATCACATGCACACCGGGATAACACAAGTTGAATTTGCCATAAATATCCCAAACGCGACGGAAAATCTGGGCCCTATTACGCGTATGTATACGTGTGAAGTGTGGCAGTCGTAAACAACTTGTCCAAGGCCAAGTTGAAAGTCGATACTACTGATACATCTGGATTTTTAAGTGCTTTATCACACCAGGATAACACAAGTTGAGTTTGCCATAAATATCCCAAACGCGACGGAAAGTCTGGGCCCTATTACGCGTATGTATACGTGTGAAGTGTGGCAGTCGTAAACAACATGTCCAAGGCCAAGTTGAAAGTCGATACTACTGATACATCTGGATTTTTAAGTGCTTTATCACACCGGGATAACACAACTTGAATTTGCCATAAATATCCCACCACGCGAAATCTGGGCCCTATTACGCGTATGTATATATACGTGTGAAGTGTGGCAGTCGTAAACAACATGTCCAAGGCCAAGTTGGAAGTCGATACTAGCGCTAAGACCAACTCAAGTTTGGTTTACAACATCTTTGTTCTTCTTACGTTTTGTACTTCATTTGTATTGGATTTTCTTGTATCAATCTATGTGTACTTTTGTTACTTAGTGTTATACGTCCTTGTCACTTGAGTGCGCTACCACTTTGTGTTGTATAACGTTCCTCAATGTATGAATAAAAAGGTTGTTTTGAGGTAAATTTTGTCACACAGATTGCACTTTTGACCTCTCGTTCAGGCGTTGACTTGTGTCGGTGTTGTCAGCCCTGACAAGTGTATTTAGAAGTGTAGCGGGCGTGACCGAAGCGGTGTGTTGTGGGGCGGCACGTGCTTTCCTTTGTTGTCCGTGTGTTGGTGTACACTTCAAAGCATCGCGTCCATTCTTCAGTGCGCCAGCCCGGGCTACGGACCGCTTTCGCCGTGGCTGTGCAGCGCAGGGAGCTAGCTAGTGGACTTTGTACCGGCTTCGTTTGTTGTATGTTTTACCTCGGTTTTACAGTGTTTTTACTGCGTTTGGTCGTGGGTTACACCGTATAATACTCTACCCGTGATATACAGTATACTGTGACGTTGCACTGAAATCTGAGGGCTTGCTATCGCGTTGTTCCAGACCGTTATACGCTACTGCGGAGGAGATATACCGCATCGAACGGGCTGTGCCGCAAGCTACCATATCTGCGTTCACGGAATAATTTGTGCACAGCACAGTCAGCCTCCCACCGGAAGTACAGAGCCAGGGATTCCGGAAGCACAAGCGGGCTGACAAAATTTTCATCTCATTTCAGTCAGAGCAAAGCGAGAGCTGTCAAGTCAATTTTCCATCCGGGCCACCGTGCTGAAATCTACCGCCTAGTACACAGACAGACGCCCGCCCGCCCGGCCTTTTAAATTCCCAGCGGACTTCCATTGAACCACAACAACAACCGTACGTCGAGCAAAAAGATGAGCTCCCGGCTTCGCAATCCTTTCCGTAGCGCACAGGGTAAGTCCCCTCCCTTCAATACTAGTAAATTATTTCCAGCATCTATTTCTGGCTTGCAGTGTAAATCACCATAATCAAATGGCTACGTATAGCCATGCAGGAGATGCGTCGTTCGATAGTATCAATGACAAGGGTTAGGCTTACTAAAATTGACAGGCTGTCAGAGCTAACGTTATAAGCGGGTGACTCGCTGCTAGCTACTAGCTGACTGCTTTGTGTTTTATCTGTATCTACAGACCGCATCCCCGATCCTGATGCAGCTATGGCGCATCTTCGACCCGCTGTGCCGCCCAAACCGAAACAGGTATTTCCATTTTAGTAGTATTTAAAAACCTTCTAGTAGTAACCGTTATGGTATAATCTGTACTGTAAAGGGATGCTGGACTCGGTAGTGCGAAGGATGTCTATTTTTAGCGGGACAGGGAGAAGGACATGATATAGGTTCTGTTACCTCCCCCGGCATGCATATGGGTCGTCCGCACCATTACTCTAGCATCGTGTGTCCTCCTTTGATGCCTGCTGCATGTTGTGAATATCCTATATGTAGTCAGCCGGTAGAATTCCCAAGCTTGTGTCTCTGTGTTACAAGCAGTCACAGTAAATACAACTCGTGACAACATACCTACATTGTACCTACCTAGTCCCATGACCGACACTGCTGGTGACAAAATACAGGATCATACAGCGGTCAACGAAAGCTAGACCGAACAGTCAGAAATAACATTCGCTTAGCTGTGTGTGTGTAAATCTTCCCTCCCTCTTCTCAACCAACAGAAAGATCCTTTCAAAGCTTAAAGAATTCAATCACTGACTGTTTGCCGGTAAACAACAAGCGCAGAGTACTGACAGCCACCAAGTGCAGACCTTAGCCTTAAGGCTTGCGCTAGACGTACAGATATTTTCCCAACATTTTTGTGGGGCCGCGGGATTTGTTACCGACCGTGTTATCCTGTGTGAAAACCTGCTTCCCCCTGTACTTAGTGATTGGCGAGTGATTGATCCCAAAAGGTAGAAAATACGGTAGGAAGAACCAGGGCTCGAAATACTGGGTGCATGTGCACCTTAGTGCACCCAAATTTGGAGCTGTGCCCCAATTATTTTCTGTGGGTGCACCAGTGCACCCAAATATTTTCTTAGCTTTAATGTATGTAAAGATGTTAAATGTATATTAGTATTATTCTTTTATTAAAATATCTGTATCAGAAAAAATGATACAATCATTGTTATAGTACTTTTCTTGAAATAAAGCATAATATTATTATATTTTTTTGCAGGCATTCTACTTATATTATCTTTAATATCTTATAAGTTATATGGCCAAGGTGCACCTAAAACATTTTTTGTGCACCCAGTTTTTTTAGGTTGGGTGCACCAGTGCACCTACTTTCCCAAAAAATGAATTTCGAGCCCTGCTGGTAGAAGGTATGTTAATGCAAACCAGAACCGTACAGTGTTAGCTTACAGCAGTGTAGTGTAGTAGTGGTTGTGGAAATGGACAAGTGGAAACCAGCCGTGAAAATAACAACCCAATCCTGTCAAAAATACAGGACATCCAATTATACCGTTCAGTTCTTATCACACACTCCAGCAAAATCAGTACTAACCATATATAGATGGCCTGTGTCTTCTGCATAATTGGTTCAATATGCATAGAGATCTATGGGTTGATTTTAAACCATATAGAACACATGCAGGGAACACATGGGAAAGCGATAGGTCCAAAATGAAACGTTTTTAAATGAAACCAATTTAATTTGTCAGGCTTTCTCTTAGTGCTAGATTCTCCAACTGCAAGATGGCTCCTGTTTTTCTGTATTTTCTCAATTTCTGCATGATTGGTTCAGTATGCAAACCACAGAGAATCCCTTGGTAGACTGATAGGTTCAGAATGAAATGTCCAATTTAATTTGTAAGGCTCTCTCTTACTACTAGTATTAGGTCCTCCATTGCAGTAACCATAATAGTCAGACGCTCTGTGGTTTCTGCATAGATTCTAAACCATACAGAACACATGGCAAAGCGATAGGTTCAGAATGAATCGTCCAATTTAATTTCTTACCACTAGTGCTAGATTCTTCATTGCAAGATGGCTATCACCTATTTTTCTGTGTTTTCTGCATGCAATGTAGCTTAATATATATAGGTTTGGGTTGATTTTAAACCACAGAGAATGCCTGGGAAAGCGATAGGTTCAGATTGAAATGTCCAATTTAATTTGTCAGGGTCTCTCCTCCTACTAGTACTAGTAGTACTATTAGATCCTCCATTGCAAGATGACTATCACAAACCATATATAGACAGACGCTCTGTGCCTTCTGCATAATTGTTCAGTATGAACATACATGTAGAACCCCCGGGAAAGCAATAGGTTCAGAATGAAATGTCCAATTTAATTTGTCAGCCTCTCTCCTCCTACTAGTACTATTACTAGTATCAGATCCTTCATTGCAAGATGGCTATCGCTAGTTTTTCTGGGCCATCTGGGATGTGTTTATGTGCTGTGAGAAAGGGCCCACTTGGGTTAATGACATTAGTATGTAAACCATGGTGGAAGTTCTGGAACCATTAAACGTTAGGCATGAAATATACAGGATGTCAGGTCGGATCCTTTGTTTAGGTTTTCTGCTGCATATGGAGAATAGGGATGGTTCATTTTTATACAGGGGTGGGTCTGGCCTTGGTGCTAATATTAAAATCTGCACGGTACAACCATTGTGATGAAAGGTACTGCAATATTTCACATTTTTTGTTTGTTTTTTGTTCAAACAGACAGCGCACAAACGACAGCGCACAAACAGCATATACTTTAGGTATCGTAAATACCATACAGGAGAGCCGAGATGTCCTAGTTTCCACGCATAAATTAGAGGGTTATTTTATTGTGCACCTACCAATGTACAGCTAGAAGGGTATGTAGAGGCTTTTATTGGGAGTTCAATTGCGAACTTGCCTCTTTTACAGTGATTGACATAAAACATATAAAAAACCAAATACTGTATACCAACTATCGTATAAGAGACTTTTCTTCCTAACAGAAACACATGACTTGTGTATTCTACCCCAAGACAGATAAAATTCCAGGTAGCAACTGGTGTTTGTTACAATGTATCGCCCTGCCTATGGGACGACATGAGTATCATATTACAGTATGTCGGTATCCGTCTATCGTGACAGACAGCGCTATATGTAGCGAAACAAAATCAGGGTCAAGTGGACAGTCGTGCCTGGAAGGGGGTCGATATGTCAGCTATTTATTTATAGTTATGTTGCCTATTTATTCGTAAACAACCAGTTTATGAATAATAGAAGATGGTTGTCATTGTATTTTTGCCCCAAGAAAAGTCACTTTTCTGATTATGCAAATTCATAGTACTTAATATAATTCTTTGATGTTGTTCTCTGTGTCTTATACTTTATGAAGTTCAAGGCTGAACTAGGTTAGACTGGGTAGACTACTTCTCGTGTCTTGTTTCATTTGATCCACCCATTCACCTGTTTAATGGTTCATCCCCACAACAGGATGTCAGTGAGGAGTCTGTCAGCAGATGAGATCTGCTGGAAATGGGATTATACTCCAGGCTGGCTGGGAGTGGGCCAGGGGTGATACACAGCTTTGTGTGGTTTATTTTTAATGGGATGTACGGGAAGGGCCGGAAAATACCTGATAAGACTCTGAGCCTTGTCAGCAGTGGTAAGAGTTTATGTGGAAAAGCTTGAGAGGGTCACCAACCATCTGTGATTTGTTGCCTAGAATCCTTGGAGTCGAACAATAATTTTATAATAATAGCAGATTGATATGGTGGATTATTATTAATCTCACCAACCATACATGTACAGTGCTTCCTCCCCCCAAAATAAATGCCTCCGCACCTAGAGGGTCTGCATATGATGTTAACATTACTCTCCAAGCAGAGGTTGGTGGTGAAGACATTTTCTGTTTCTACATTGGTCGGGGTTAGTGTCAGAAAATGGGGAATATGATAAAAAGGTCAGAGTCTTCCCCACCAACCTTTGCTTGGAGAGTACTACGTAGTAGCTACACTAACATCCCCGGGACAGACTACTACTGACCTGCCCCCTGTATGGGCCCTATGGGAGTTTCCAGTAGGCCCCTGTATGGGGCCAGACTGTGGGTTGTACCTACAGTATATTCCCTCATGTAGGGCCTGGCCCAGCTGATGTCCCATTCCCAGGGTATCACAGCCATCTCATTCCCAGGGTATTCCAGTTACCATGGCAACAAAGCCCCCCTTGATTCCACTTTATACAAATATTACCTCATCAGGTATGGTACATGTACCTGGTCTGTGTATTGGTTGTCACTGCTGTGACATACGCAATATGGGAGAGATTTAGACATTGGAAAAATGCATTGTCTTGGCGGGGTTTGCCCCACTATGATGAAATCGATAATAAAACAGTATGTCTCTTTGTTACATGTGATATTATTAAAGGCAATTCTTTGTCTGGCGTAGGGTTAGCTAAGGACAAAGACAGCCATGATGTATGCAGCAAAAATTATTAGGTTTAATGGTTTGCATTTTGAAGCAATCATAAAAAAAACGAGATTTCATTTTCAACCAATCGTTTACATCACACTCATTCAATTGAATCATGAAAATATGAAAATATCATTTACCAATGACACATGGTGACCTATGATATTGACCTTGTTTTAGCATACAAATTATGTTAGAAGCTGTATATTGAGTTTGCATTTTCTGGAAGTGAATCACATGTTACATGATGTTTATGAGTGATTCATAATATCTATTGTTTTTACTAGTATTTTAGATACTGTACCTTTCTTTTTCATCTCTTTCATTGTGTATGATTTTCCTTACATTCTCGATGGCCATTTTTTGTGTGTTCCGCAAGATTTACAACCTTAATTAAAACATACAGAAACATCTTTTGGTGACCTTTTGTCCTTGAATTTTACTACTTGAGCTCCGACTTGGCTTTATCTCTTTAACTTCCTGCTTGATTTCCCCAGTGACCTTCCTAACTCCAAATGAATTGACCTTGAATCCAGACCTAAATTGAAATTTTGCTTTGCTTGCACTAAGATCTATACTAATGAAATTACGTTTCTCTTTCTTGCCTTTTAGGTAAATTATGTATTCCTGCATAACATTGCATTATGTCAGCTTAAAGCTTAAAAGGTAAAGAAGATTTTTAAAGACCTATATGTACATGTACTTTGTCAAATAACTCATTACTTTTCTTGCCTTGAGGTAGATTATGCATTTATATGTAATGTTGCATAAGTTGACTGGAAAGGTAAAGAAGAAATTTAAAGGC